GATAGTATTGTAACAGTCAAAATTTTGACAAACCAAGTACCGACTGTTTCTTACTACAAAATGTAATTTAAAAGGAACAAAACCAGCTATCTCCCATGAAATGCACTGAAGAACTTTTTAAAAACAGATTGCTTGCTTTTCCAAGGGCAAAATATGACCTTCAGACTCTGTGTGAGAGTGGGAGCAATTTGATTTCCATCAAAGGGAATAGCAAGCATATATAATGGCTTTAAACAGTGTTTGGATGCAAGAAGCAATATCTAGGTCTTTTCTGAATTAAGTCTGTATGGATTGACTGACATTCAGAATTTGACGTCTGACAAGCTGATAGCTCTGAAGCTGCTCTCTGCACGTCAGCTGAAATGGGATCAGAGACTGGAGTTTCATTCCAGTAGCCTCCAAAAAGAGGTGCTGAATGCTGTTACCTCCCGTCACCACACTGGCATTAAGTATATTAATAAAGGTAGTTTTGGATCAAAGCCTGTTGTGCAGATATTATGTCAGAGGTGATATTGTCTAGTATGAAATGAGCATTTTTGAGAAAATCAGTCTAAACGAGCTAAGTATTTCTTCAGCATATAATTTTGAGCGCTAGATTAGTGGTTGCTCTCACCAGTATTACCACAGGTTAAATGCTGACCTGGTGTTATGATGACCATAGGATTCTCAGCACTTGAATGAATTCAGATCTATAGTAGACAACTGTATCTTCCCTATATGAACACACTGCTTTTATGTGGCATATCCGTACACAGCACACTGAGATAGGTACGTCATCGATTAGTTTGGCTGGTTCTTAATTGAAAAAGTTGAAAGTGATTTTTTTTTTTTTTTTTTTTTAATTTTATGAAGTTATGAGTGTGTCTGGACCTAAGAGAGTTGCTCTGTGTGTTGCCAGTGAGGTTGTATTAAAGAAACACCAGTGAGAATATCTTCAGATGGTGAGACAGCGTTGCAAGAGGTGTTAACAGGTGTTACCAATTTATCAGCACCACCTCTGATAATCTGGTAGCATCCAGCTGCACCACCTTTCTTTTGGTCTGTGTTAAGGGATATGAGGGATTTCATTTTCTCAGAGTTGGACTCCACTATGCTATTCTGCTGCCAAAAGCTGAAGGCTGTATTTGCAGAGGATATGTTAAGGTACGCATCCTTTGGAATAGACTTGGAATTGGAATTTGATGAACTGATCATTGTAATGCTCTTTGTTTTTAACGTCTGCACTGATACGAAGTTTGCAATTCAGTTCCTAAATACAAAGCCTGTTTCAGAGAGCTGCTGAAAGCCTTTAACTCCTGCTGATCTCAATCTTTTGCATTTGATCAGTTTCCTAAAATGTGACCTCTTTCATCTGGGAGTTTGACACTTGGCTCTCAACTTTCCAGTGTCAGTCTGCATTTATTAGTGTGTTAAAGAGTTTTTTTTTATCAGTTCTTCCACTGAGATGCAGTATTGTTTCCATAATTAATAAGCAGATTTTGGACACATATTTTAAATCTGGGCATGCTTATAGTTGCTCTCTGTTTAGAGGCCAATGAATATTAACCGCTCCCAAATATTCTCACCTGATGAAATGGAATCTTATTTGCAGTGCAAGTCCATTGTAGATTACTGATTTTCTCACAGTAATGGAAAAAAGCATGTTAACTTATTGAGAACCATTCAGTGTGAGGAACTAGTACAGCTGGATGCATGATAAGATCTTCAATTTTTTCTGGCACAAACAGTACCTTTTCCAGTTTTTTAGCACCTGAGAAATCTTCCTGTTACCTGCCGCCTTTCTTCTGACGTAACTCCACACACTGCAGCAGCAGTTCTCTGTGGAGCATAGAGGTTGGATACCTTCCCCTTCTGCCTTGCAGTGAAAACACAGAGATCATTTCAAAGAATTTCTTGAAGTGCTATACTTCCAGCACAGCACAGCTGAGTCTGCACAGAAGGGGCTGCTTCACTGACAAGGTGTGCTGTGATTTTACCCAAGTATTGCTCCGGAGCAATCAGATAGCTGCACTTGGAAAATCCATTTCTCCCCATTACTTGGCTTTGTGTTCCCTCAGGCAGTCCCAATATAAACTTCTTACTCACTTCACCATTATGAAAACCGTTTTTCAAATATTCCCTTTTACTTACTGACTGAAAAAAGATCCGCGGTCTCCTTTTCATAAAGGACCATATTAGCTGACTTAAATCAGACTTTGGTAGATCTCTGAACGGCATGAGTAATTAAGTGCCTTTAGAGAAGTTTTGTAATAACCAGTAACATCAAAGGATAGTAATAAACCAGAAAATAAACTAATAATTAAACCAATAAATCTTTTAAACATCAGTGGATTAGAAACCCCTTTGAAATTAAGCATGTGCACTAGCCAACATCTAAATGGTGGACTTTGTCCAAGAAACTCTTATGATTCTGAACAGAAGATGTGCAAATGTCCGTTGCACAGAGGGATTAGTCTTGGTGGTTTATGTGATAAGAAGTACATACTCAAGGAGGCAATAGTGCTGCTGAGCTGCTCTCAGAGGTTTCCTGATCAAACCCTTCCAGCAGCTGCACTGTGCATTGCTGATTTCTCCTTTGAAGCTGTCTTTACTTACAGGCAGCAACACGGTGGGTGCAGTGAGGGGGAGGTGCTGCAGCTCGGTGCGTGTTTGCCTGTCTCACACTGCTCTCTTTGGTCAGACCCAGAAGTTGACCTGGATTATGGTGTCCTACAGATATGAGCTTGATGAGAACAAAGTTGAGCCTGGATATATGACAGCATATTAAAATGTATCATAGTTCTCTAGAACTATAGTTACAGTAAATTTTACAGCCATTTGATGCGATGAGGATGAAAACCTGACAGAAGTTACCATACAGTGTTCAGCAAAAAATCTCAAACTCTGTAGCAGGACTTTCATTTGTTATATTTGATTTTTGCAGTGCACGTTTTATAGGTTTTATAAAAAGGATATTATGGTATTGGTATTCCAAAGTTGACATTGTGTCTGAAAGTAAAATCTCTGTGTTATGCAAGAATAAAAAGACAGGATAAATATTGCTAAGTGATGCTTAGAGAATGCAGTGCAGAACTGCGGTACACCCACACGCAAATAAAAATACTATCTGCTGGGAGTTCTTTATTGTGTTTAGCAGAGAGCTATAAAGGCACATTTAAACAGCGATTTGTATTGCTACTTTATCTTCTGTTTATATCTCAGAATGTAGTCAGAGCCTCACAAGCTCAGTTCTCTCTGATACTTGAGTATACTGAAATAATTTTCCTGCATTGTCATTTCAGAAATGAAATCAAAAGTCTTTTGACTTAGGATAACCTGTCAGGATTTTGTAGTTTGTTATTCGTGAATGACTGCAGATCTCAAAATAAAAAAAAAGTGGTGCCAGATTAACAAGGTATGCCACATTTGACACTTGCTGGAAGCCAGGAGTGATATTTTGGTATACTTTGTTGAAAGACATCTGGATAAATTCAAGACAAATTTTTCCCAATAAACGAGCTGTTCCAAGGTACACATTTAGCATGTAGCCTGGCCAATTTGTTCGTGTGAGTCACTTATTATAGAACTCCTCAAAGAGATTCTTTGGTTTCTTTATGAGCCAAATGTGCTTTCCAGTCTCTTCTGTGGTATCTCTAGAGCTTGCAGACTTTGAGAAGTAATTTTAGGATGGTCTAAGGAATCTGGATGGAAATAAATCTGTCTGAAAACAATAAGTGGAGTTGTTCAGTTACATTTTCTGCTGTCTCTTTTTTGCTCCATCATTGAAAGACTGCAATTGCTTCCCATGTCTGTATTCTCTATACATCATTTTGCAGTTTGTTGGTTGTTTCTTCTCTTTGTGACTTCTCTATTTGCGGTATTTCTGCACCTTTTATGAAAGTCTGCAGGGTTTCGATATCAAGCTCAGGGAAGCGGCTTTTTGAACTGTAGGTTTTTCTCTCATTGTCTCCTTTCAAAATATGGTCAGAGCATCATGATGAGTTTGCAGTTCTGGTTATCATTCTTTCAGTTCAAAGTCTAAACTTCTTTAAAATGTACTTGTTTATACTGACACTTGTCTTACAAAGTTTGTCTTTGATCAGCCAGTGCTAATATATTGAGTATGACAGAAATAATCATAATTTTATTCAGCAGCTAGAATTGGCAGTTTAGAGGAGAAAAGAGGGGGATTTATGCCTTGTAAAAATCTACATACTTATACTGTATTTTGAATTTCATAAAGTGAGTATACCTGGGGAACAATGAATGAACAAAAATGTTGATGACTGCTTGAAAGAATATAGCAAATCAAGCTGTAAAACCTCTCAGAGGAAAATGTGCTAATACAAAATCATTCTTTTTTAGCTATATCCATACTTTTGTGTGGTTTTCTGGGAGAAGGCTCAATTATCTTGTTCAATTTTTGGTGGTTATATCCACACAGGTTGAGGGTAGTGAATACAGATGATAACTAGAGCATATATATATTTGTTGAGTTATTAGAAAATATTAAGAAACAGGTACTTAAAGAAAATATGAAATTAAGTGTATGTCACAAATTACATAAGTTATTTTAAAGTAAGCTTCTGATAAATCTTTCAGATAAGAAAAAGAGTAGATTCATTCACAATCCTTCTTTCAAAAATTTAAAGCTCTTGAAAACTATGGAAAGTAGAACAAAGCTGTTGTCAAAACAGCAAAAGCCAATATCCTCTTATGGAATTTCTCAAAGAAGTGACTGACTGGAAGCCAGAGCAGGAAAACAGTTCAGGGACAAAATCTCATTTGTGTGGCTGTATGAAGCTTTAAAATAGGAGATTGCTGAGCAGAAGGTTAGGTCCATAGCTGGGATGAGATCCGACTGGCACCAGCATGATGCAGCTCATCCTGCTAGGCGGGTGGCTGCTGCATGTCATCCCAGCTAGTTCCCAAATAGCTAACCTATGCTTCAGGCATGGGCAGCTTTCTAGAAAAATGATCATGGTTGCACATGAGCAAAGAGTAATGTGCTCTCTGTACTTCTGCAGCTCCTAAAGGAGAGGAAAAAAATTGAATACCTGTCAGGGGAAGGAGTTAAGTTGACAATTAAGGTAAGCAGCTGTCTTTCAATATTTTTGGTAACTTAAAATGCATCTTCCATTAATTTTCCTGTCCTGAGTCCTTCAGCACTGCTTTTAAGAAAATGTTTAATTTAGTTTTGTTTTGCTAAGAAACTGCTGTTTTCTTGGTGTTTGCTGTCTTCCAAATGGATGAGATGGAAGAGGCAGTGTGGCATGGCAGCTTGTGCAATAGTCATGTACTATCAGCTCTATCAGCAGCTGCCTCAGTTTCTGTCAGTATTTAATGAAACATAACCTTTGCTCCTATAAAAGTTTGAAAACCCTGAAGTGCTAGAGTCAACAGCCATAGTAATGGCAGATTGTATGTGGTTTGTCAACACAAATAAGTAGCAGATCTTGAAGGCTGTATTGCAAGTGTTGCCTGGGAAACCTATGTGCAGCATAATTGTTTCTAAAACCCACCACACAGGCAGGCTGTAGCATCTTAAAACTCAGATTTCATCCCAGCTCTCAGCCAAGGTAAGCAGAGGGGTGACCAGATACATCATCTTGACCAGAGAAACAGAGCTGCAGTGCATGTTCTGTGTATTTGCAGTGTATCTTGAATTGCACACAGACTGCTAAATCCCTTTTATTACAGTCAATCACGTATGGATTTTTTTCTTCATGAATACTTAATGCAACATATAATTAGACATGGCAAGTGAGTGCCAGATCTGGAATTAAGACTTGAGCTTTCCTGGCGCTGACTGCAGTGCTGCTATGAGCAGCACCACAGGAAGGTTTGCAGGAGCTCATGGAGCAGGCAGCTGAGCTCCTTCAGCTAGAGGCTGGCCACAGAGGCAGGTCTTGCTGGATACCCTGAGGTCAATGCCCGTGCTGGGATGGGAGCATTTGCTGCCACAGGCCTGCCCCAGCTGTGTCACCACCAGGCAGGGCAGGTGTTAGTGATGTACCACTGAAACCAAAGCTGTGATTTTAGTGCTTCCCTCATTTATTTTTTGCGTCCATCATCCTGGCTATTCATTGCTGTGGGGAATTCCTGGGAGATAAAACTTCTAGTTAATCACAGACAAGGGAGAGCTGACCCTTGTTGGCTCTTCTACAATTGTAGGAATTTTGTTTGCTAAGCAGTGAGAAGACCTCCTGCTCATGGCCAGCTGTCATACTCATTCAGTTTGTACGTAGCTGCAATTTCAGGTGTCTCAGTTTCAGGATGGCCATATCTATCCTCAGATACCTCAGAAGAAACGATGAGGAAAACAAGAATACAAATCCTTGATCAGGACGGGTTGAAGTGGGATTGTCCCCTGTAAGATGGTGCTGATGCACTAATTTTTCCATTTGTATTTCTCTTTGGATATGTAAAGTTGTCACAGATACTGGAAACAAAGTCCATAGAAATATGCACATAATATAAGTCAAATTTTCTCAAGCAAATCTATGCTAAAAGTGACTCATGATATTAAGGTCTATTTTTGTACTACCATTGCTTAACTAGGGCACCCATTCAACCCACCAAAGCCAAGTCTATGTAGAACTGTGTCTTTGCACAATGCAGGTTGAGATTTCCTTCTGCAGGAGTATTATGCAGTTGTTCATCCATATGTGTCTGAGTTTGTCATGGGATAAAAGATGACTTCATTGTATTCATTGCAGAGAAATTTTTAAACAAATGCAGTTTTAGAATGGTAATTTACTTGGTAAGCTATTTGAAAGGTATTGCTTAGTGGCCTAACACATATTTTTGAAATCAAACTATTTAAATATTTCTTTAAAAAAATTATTATAACAGTGCATCCAAGGTTGTAACAAATAACAGTATTTCTGACTGATTTTATTCAGCTAGCAAGCTGTAATCAATTGCTAGCCATAAATTCAGTGGGAAGCGCACTCTGACAGGAGTCCTTGGCTTGTTAAAGAGAATGGAACTGGAGAAAGACGTTCTTACAAATTACAGCTCCTTGCAAGTGGTGCTTCACTGTGAAAAAATGCTTGTTAAATTCCAGCTGATTCAGAGTAACCTGTTTTGGGTCATGGCAATACATCATCAAGGTTTCAGGAGTGCTGAAATGTATTATTTAAACAATGAAAACAATAATGTTACAACGTGTTACTGTGCTCAAAATGTCATATTCTGCACACAGTTGTGCTTAAAAGTACTTTCTGCAAGTGGGACACGTCAAAGCAAGGAAATTCCCAACCTTGTTTTTCTCTGTAAATTCAAACCATTCTGCACTTACAGAATGACCTGGAAAGTTAATCAGATTTATTAGCCATACACAATGCACAAATACACAAAGAGTGGTTCTTCTGCAGTTGCTTCTTCTCTAAAGGAAAAGACATTTTCACATTGCATTGTTGCTGCGACAATTTTGTTCTAATTATAACCGATCTGATTTGGATACCTGAATAGCTCTGCAACTAATTTTAATCAGATCTCTGCACACGGGGAGTCACAGACAAGGTAGTCAGCCCTGCTTCTATGCACTGCTGCTCAGAGGAAAGAAGGGATGGTTAAGTCAGGGGAATTACCCACAGGGCCAATTTGATCCACATTACAGACAAAGTGAAGCACAGAATCAGTGCAATAAATGCAGAGGTATACAGGCTGGCATCTGTCATAATTTGGGAGCACAGCTGTTTAAAATTGTAGGTTTTCGGTAGTAAGCTTCAGACATCACTACAACTATTATTATTTTACTAAGCCTAATCCTAGGGAGTATTTTAGGCTGATAAAATGCTTCTCTTTGTTTATTCATTGCACCTGTACAGCACTGTGCATGCCAGCTGAGTTAGAGTCCTTCTCTCTGCTTTTGAGTTTTTTGAGGAAAAAAAAACACAAACGCCTTTGACAAAGAAAGGCAAGGGTCTTGGTTAGGAAAGCAGCATATCTTCAGGTCTAGGTGAAAGTGAGGCCACCTGATGAGCTCTGAGCACTATGGTGACTTCAAGGGGGGAAAAAAACAGATTTACAATGTCTGAGTAAGATGTGGAGAAGAGATCTGGAAGTGAATAATAATGGAGCTCATTACCACCTAGCACTTATGCCCACTGTGCATCCTCATTTTAAGGTACTTTAGGTCAAGAGCTTAAGACATGCACATCCCTAGTGAAGAACTGAAGCCCTAAATAACATTACTGGGCTGATATGTTTTCCCTCCCTCACTAACCCTCCCTCCCAAAGGCTTTAAATTGGACTCCAGTACCAATAATACAAGAAATGACAAGTTATCTTTGTCTGATCAGTTTGTGCAATCAGAAATTTAGTTTTGTAGAAGTATCAGTTGTCACCCTTAGTTTCACATGCAGTAATGTGAAAATCACACCCAACCCCAGACACATCAGGCCTTTTTCCTGGCTTGCCTTCTTTTGATAAAGGTCTCCTTAAAATTTTTTAAGAGATTTTCCTTCTTAAACAATAAAAAAAAAGAGATAGTTTTAACTATTTATTTTCCTCTGGTATAATGGTGATACTTTTATATGCAACATGCCAATGTGAAATTGCTACATACAGTTATTGTTCAATGAAGATAATGAATAAACCACTTATGACTAAAGTACACAGGTTTTATTTTTAAGCTGGAGAAAGAATTCTGTTGTATAAATTTGCCAGTGTGAAAAAGCCAGTCAGACTGACCTGCTGGTAATACTGGAAGAAATAGTTGAGGTAGCTTCTTCTGAGCAAACACAGCTAAGGAGAGAGGCTGCTGGTCCTAAAACTTCTGCAATCCTTCCAAGTTTCTCTGCAGAGGGATCAATGTGATGCAGGAATCTCATCTACCAAGGGATGCAAACCAGGAAAAGAAAAAAAAAAAAAAAAAAGGTGTTTTCACATTGTTACAGAATCTAGAAATCTAGAACTGAAAAGAAAGGAAGAATTGCTAGGTTGTCTTGCCCTTCTTTTCTGATATGGGTCAGCCTGTCTCTTTTAAGAGAATTTACTAGTTTCTGGTTCTTCCTTTTAGTACACCATAGTTAAATGACTTCCTATAAATAATGGAATTGCAGGCACTGATTACTTTCACACTGCAGTAGCGTTGCATGCCATGGCTCTGGCTGCTGGCTGTCGCAGAGCAGTATGCTGAACTCCATCAGTGCTCCTGCCATCCAAGCAGATCTTTACAGGAGAAGTGGGCTTGCTAGAATGGAGATCTCACATACCTTGACCTTTTTGCAATTAGCTTATGGGAGATGCTTCTGCACCAGGCAAATTTAAAAGGGTTCTGATGCAGCAGGCTGCAAAGCATATAGGGGTGGCTGCGTGGCCAAGGATAACATGCAGGACCTAGGAAGCAAGAGGTGGAGGACTGAAGGACTGCTTTCACTAGCATATCGTTCCCTCAAAGTTAATTATAGGCTTCAAAGTTATTTATAGGCTATTTGTAGTTCTGTTAGTTTGGTTTGGGTGGTGGTAGGTTGTTGTTGTAATTTTTATTTTCATTTCTATTTTTTTGTTGTTTGTTTGTTTCCCAGATGAATCTCTGAATTTGAGCACTGGCCAGATTCACAGTGTATCTTTGAAAGCATTTTGTTCATGTGCAGGAAAAAACTGCTTCTCCTTCTTTTCCAGAGTTTGAATGGAATTAATTCATTGCTAGAGGGATCTATTAGGCCATTAATTAGCTCCTTACAAATATCATGGTTCATTTATATTTCTGATTATGACACTGCCCTGTGTGGCATTTGAACTTCAGTGGTTCTGTAATTGCTTGCCTAAGCAGTTCATGTTGAGAACCCCATCACACGTTCCTTGTGAGTCCAAACTTCTCCTCACTATGAGACATAAGCACATAAGGCTAAAGGGCAAACCTGTACATTGAAGCTTTCCTTCCAAATACACCACGGGCGAATGTTCCAATACGGAGAAGAAATGGTCTCAGGTGTAGCAACTCTGTATTTTATTAAAAGGTAGGGGGGGGAGAAAAAAAGAAAGTAAAAAAAAAGAAAAAAAGGTAGAGAAAATGAGTAAGAGGAAATATAAGAGGAAATATGACCACAAAATAATAAAGAAACATCTCTGCAAAAAC